CTACTTTTTGAGATTAGTTAACCAGTTCTTAATCCATTTAGCATGTGCTCTATTGATATGTATAATTTCTTATTTTTTAAATCAGAATGTCTTTGGATACTAAGTCAAACACCTTATAAAGGTTTAAGTATATTACATCCACGCAATTACCTTTATCAACCACACTTACAGTCTTAAAGAATGAAGTCAGGTTTGCGTGACAAGATCTATTTTTCATAAAACTGTGTGCACTGGCATTAATTATATTCCTATTCTTTATCAACTGAATCCCTCAGATTTGGGAAGTTAGTCCTTTTGAAGCACCAAGTATATACATTACTGGTTGGACTGTGCTCTATTTGCCCATATTGAATGTAATCAGGTCATGATAATTGGTCCCTAGGCAACCTACCAATTTCCATGTCTGTCACTAATCTTTCTCCATCATAAAGAGGTGCAATGGAGATACATCATCGTGGTGCAATACCTTTTGTGTTAGACAATTATATATTTTTTTAAAGAAACAAAAAAACTAAACAAGAAACAGAGTCTGATATTTTACTACTGGCTACATGAGTCCTCCAGCATGTCTCCCAAACTGAAGTCCCCCATAATAGTTTCTCTTTCTACATTGTCTGTAATGCATTAAAAAAATAACATCCTTCTTTAAGAAGTTATACTTAATAAGTAATGTTGCTTGGCCCTATTAGCCTTTTTACAATAGTGCAACAATACACAGCTCTTATAAACATTTTCCATCAGTAGATCTCAAAGTATTTTTTCAAATGCTAAGGGCTGAACTTGGCATGCATTTTCAAACTCAAATTCTCTTTTCCTCCTTTTCCCGTTTGTCTTTTCATCAACTTCCTTCTGTAATATTGTCACCAGCATTATTTTCTCCTTCCTTCACAGCTATCTTTCCTTTCCTCTAAATTTCGTTCCGTTACTTACCTCCTTCCTATTGTTGCTCTCCTTTTTTTCCATCTTGATGTCTCTCCCATGGCATACAGAGTTTAGTTAGCACCTAGGCAGCTGCCTAAGGGATTTGACAGCCGGGATGAAAACTGACTTTAAAAAATAAAATGTAATTCAGTTCAAAGTGGTTGCACTGACCCATGTTATATCTTAAAGTTTTACATTAAAAGCGATGTTCAGAAACATTTAAACGAGGCATAGTTTTTAAAATAGCCAATAGTGGGAGTTATGGGTAAAAAAAAAAAAGTAGTCATGGGTCAAAAATACTATTTTCCAAAAGTTTCCGTGCCCTTCAAATTGTCATGCTGTTCAGCTCTCGTGGATCCTAATGGGATAAAAGCACTAGGCATCAATGCCAGTGTGTGAAAACCCTGTTAAATTATTATCCTAAAGTGTTTCTTTGACTAGATGGGCCAACTGGGCTTTCCTGTTTGATATTACAATAGGCTGGTGATAACTGATCACAAACTCATGCTAGTAAAGCAAGAGAGATTTAGGGATAATATCTTCATGTAAGAGAAGGATTGGGCACATTAAGATAACATGAAATAATGCAGCCAGAAGGTTAGTCAGAGTGAAACAGTAAGAGGGTGAATACTTGGGGGAGGTCAGAGAGATAGATCATATAGTTTCTTGCATCCCAAAAGTTTTTTCATCTCTGGATAGTTTAATGATAATTAAACTTTTGTTGCAGTATTGAAGATCTCTTGCAAGGTTAAACTGGCAATTGCTTTGGCTAGGAGAGGAGATGCTTGAGGGAGCTGAAGACTGGTACTCCATCCTCAGGTCCCAGACTGATTAAAACCCAATATAGAAATTAGGTAGGGATTTAAAGTAGGGAATGAGACAAGCCATTAAGCAGGAAAACAAATGGTCAAGTGTGAAGCATTCTGAAGGACAGGCGGGTGGTGTTTAATGATAGTTTTACTCTTTTTGATGTTAAAAGCTTTGCCTGCAGAAATAGTGGGATAGTGGGAAATTTAAGCACTATGGCTAAAATTTGCAAAACCAAGTGACTATATTTAGGTGCCTTCCTTCAGCCACTCAAGTTTGAAAATTTTGACCTAACAGCTTTATGGGGGCCATGTAGGAACACTTGTTCCCACAGTCACCTTGTGGCTGACAGGGACCTCTATCATGACATCAGCTCCTTGCTCACACATTACAGAATGGCATCAGGGAGTTTTCAAGCCTTCAAGGGTTTGGGTTTTTTTTGCCTTTCCTCTCTGGCTGTCAATAGTGACACTGAGATATTCCAGTAGTATCACAAATATGCAATGTGCCACATTTCTTCCCTATCCCATACTTCTAGTCCGTAAAGCCACAAACCAAACAAGCACACAGAAGTGTGTGGGATGGAGCAGGGTGCAAAAAAATAAAAAATCAGCTTTAAGACAGTCACAGACTTTCCACTCAAATAGTGCTATATGATGCAGCTGAAATTGTGATGGAATAGTCTTCTCTGTGCTTGAATTTCACATATCAGTTTGCAACCTTCAAAGCTGAGGTATTCAGTAAGTTTACTATTGTTAAAACAATATTACTTGGAACCCCTCCCATGTTGTTTTCACTCATTTCAGTTTCAATGAACTCCTCACTCAGAGGCTGGGATTAAAAGTGGTACAGGTATCATTGCAGTAACTATTGCTAGGAGGAGCTGCAATGGCATTAGGATGGAGAACATCTTCAACTTGTATAGGCGAAACTGATATGATCCACTTGTCTTTGTTTGCCTAACTGGAAACACAGAAACAATGTCATTCCATGTTGGACGTTTTAATAATTGCTCTATAATATAAACAAACCTACCGAAATTTGAGTGCATATGAATCAGCCGTTGTATCAAAAAAGGAAACCACAAATCAAATCCTGCAGTCTGTTCTCCAATACATTGCACACTAGACAGTAAAAACAGGCTAGTACTTTTTTTCACTGTTTACTTAAAATTACACACATGTATTCTAGTACGTTTAGATGTTTTCAAAATAAATCTAAACTCTTTAGGACAAAAGGTAAACTAACAAGTTTGTAGACCACTCCCATCTTGCCTCCAACTTCTTTTTTTCTAGACCATCCAAACACAGAAGTAGAGTTAACATTGTTTTCAGCTCAAAGAAATAAATGGGAGTCCATTTTAAGATACTTAACCAAAGTAACTTTACAAATGTTTATTAAAAAAAGGCACAATGTTAATAGTCTGAGGTTTCAATGACTAATTCTTAAGAGGTTTGAGAAATCTAAAGAAGGATCCACAATCCTAATTAATTGAAAGCTTGTTTAAAGAACCCCAAAACAGCTATTGGCATGTTTCAGTGTGCTTGACACTTGACAATGATACATATGAAATACATTTGTTGGTGAAGGTAAGCAAGGCATTTCATTAGTTTAATGATTACAGTCAAAGAATCTCACCTACAATATAGTAACTTTTCCATCAATAACACACTTGCATGTTTTAACATTTTAATCCAGGAAAAAAATAGAGTAATGGGGCAAACTGGTTTACCAATGATTTTCATAATTAAAAAAAAATCCATTTAAAGCTGGACATCTGGTCACCCTACTCTGAACTGAGTTCCTAAAATTACTCTCCACACGATTCAGCAAATGCTTGGGAATAACAAACACATAACAAACGAGGACCTCTGTTGTGTTCATGAAGGACTGACAGCAGAAAAAAGCCTCAGTCCTGCAGCTAATAGCACACAGGGGCTGCTGTACTTGTATGGAGCCCCAGGAAAGTCAGTGGTGCTCCATTCAAGCACAGCAGTCTGCTTATATGCTGTCAATTGAAGGACTGGGGCTTAGATTTGTAACTAATACTGGTTACAATGAATAGTTTGACCAGCTGTACCAAGGAGATTTTGTTTGTAATATAACTTCAGTTTTTGTGCAATTTTACAAAACACTATGTGACAATTTTATTTAAAAGTGCATCTGGTAAGTGCATAGGTGAGAATCTGGAGAATTACAGTAATTCATATAGTAAACAAATGAACCTTTTTACATAAGGTTATCATTTCGACTAGCGCAGACTTTTTTCCTGCCAAAACCTGCAAATCTCTGTGCATTCAAATATTAATGTATCTAATGAGAACTCATTTTAAAGAGAACATGTACATGTTTATTTTAGGAAGTTGATGACTGTCCCATTTTTAAAGGGACAGTCCCATTTTTTGGGACTTTTTCTTATATAGGCGCCTATTACCTCCCACCCCCTGTCCCATTTTTTCACAGTTGCTATCTGGTCACCCTAGTTTAGAGTGCTCTTGATTATCCACATTGCAGAGTTACCACATAAGTTAGTTGTATTGTTTCTGCTTTCTGACTGGATGACAAACCTTTCAAAACTGAAAGTATATATAATGACCTTCTGTTAAAAGTTTCAGGTGAGCAGTCATGGAAATGTCTGTCAGTCCCAAATTGCATACAAATTAATTCTTGGCAGCTGTTTGAATTCTCACGAACACCAGAAAGAGACACCCAGCCAAATGAAAAGCAGCCAATGTAGGGTTCTGATTTGTAAGTCAGGCTTTTCCTTTTTTGATCAACTCTATTTTAGTTAATCGGTATAAAAAGCAACTTTGAGACTCTGGGGGATGCACTGAAGCACATTGGGGCTTTCTGGATCTGTACCAGACAGACATAGTGAAGAAAAACGATAAAAAGAAACACTTTTTTTTCCTTAGAGGACAGATATAAGTACCTCCTTCCTGCTAAGCTGACCCATGCAGCTGCACAGACAACACCATTGTCAAATACACACACACACACACATACACACACTCATTTGGTCAAATATTTCAGATGACATGGCTACTTTTTTAAGCTAACAGTTTGCATTCAGGTGCCCACAAAATTTAACATTTACTAGAATTTTTTTTTTTTAAACTTCACTTTCAAGTGAACTGTATGGGTGTCTTCACTAGTACGATTACCCAATTTAGGGTAAGTATATACAGCACACAGCAGTGAGCCTCTCAATTCAGATTAACAGAGTTGGGCTCCTGGGACTTGCGCTACCGCACTAAAAATAGCTTGGTAGACATCGCAGCATGGGCTGGAGCTCCTGCTTTGGAGCCCACCCACTTCTCTAAGCTTCAGAGCCCGACCACTAGCCTGGGCTGCAACTTCAAAGCACAGCCTCCACTGCTATTTTTAAGAGCACTAGCGTGAGCCTTGCTAGCCCAAGTCTGTCAGCCCAGAGTGGGAGGCTCCCTGTTGAGGGTGGTGTAGATGTACCCATACAATGGTACAATGTTAGAGCTGCGTCTAAGTAATGGTACATTAACAGATCTACTGTTCTTTTTTTTTAAGGGGTAAGGAAAAGGGGCTAGCCAGAATAATAGTCAGTTCAGATATACACCAGCGATAGTTCTTGCCACAAGAGCAGAGTTGAGAATTAAAAGGCACAAGTTGTTTCAGAACATCACTATTTTAAGGCCAATTGTCAGTGGGCAACACTGCGCTTCACAGGGCTAACCACAGAAAAACGCTCAGGTATTTGAAAACATCCCTCCCATCCTTTCCGAGGATATTTCAACAGGACTACATTTTTTTTTCATGCAATTTTGAAACTCAAGCCCCTGCTGTTTACATTGTGTTTTTTTCAGGCAGATATGCAGGTTTTCTATCCAGTTTTGCTCATCTTTTCTTCACCTTGAGTTTCCTTGGACTATTTCTGCAGAAGTGTTCGCTGAACTGAAAAAAAGAAAAAAGAAAAAGAAACAAATATACAAACAAAATAACCAAATCAAGCTTAGTACAATCAATATATGAGAATCCGACTTTTAGAACAGCGCTTCTTTTAAAAGTGTGAACACTCTAATCTTAGCAAATAAATGGGCATTTGATATTGTGGGGTGGGCTGAGGCCCGATCTGTCTGTAAGCAGAATTCTGCTTCCAAAAAATTGGTGGCTGCATGTTTTTGCACCCACGAGTAACTTGAAGACATACATTTTAGTGACATATATGGCTACCTAATTTACATCTGCAGTCAAGTATTCAGAAATACAGCTTCTAAGAACTGCCCCTTCAATTCACTGTGGATGCAACAAAAAAGGGATACTTTTGCAGGCACAAATTGTGTCTACAAGAGTGATTTTGGGTCATGGGAAGTTTAGCCTCATCTATGCAATATGCAGTTATAGTATATACAATATGCAGTTATAGTAAACTCAGACTGGAATGTAACATGCTTGCATATGCATCTAGGAGAAAATGGTCAGATTTCAATGTATACAAAAAATTTTGGTTTTGGGGGTTTTATTAAACCCCTAAAAAAATCACTAATTTTATAACAATTGTGGTAAATCACAACTAAGTCCAGGAATCCTAAACTAAGTTTAAACTTTCAACCTACTCTGTCTATAACTCATATATGAAGCTGAATTTTGCAGAGCTCTTACAGTATTATATTTATCTATATTACAATGGTAACCTAATCCAGGACCTTATAAAGGTATATTTCACTACGGGCAAAGGGATAGGATACAGTGTTAAACTAAAATCTAATGAATATTTAGACATTTTAAATCTGCTCTTCTCTTGAGCTAATATAACCAGATTAATTTTAAAAGGACTAGAATTAATATCTGTATTTAAACTATTTGTCTGAATATCTCAGGTTTGAGGTGAATATTCAGAACTATCTGCGCTCTCGACTTCGGGAAGCAGTTGGAGAGAAAGGTACTTGCTTTATAGTTTTATAAAATAATTGATAATGTATTACAGAAAAGTTTATACAAGAGATCTTGAACCAGCTAACAAGTCTGTGGGGACAAACTGACTGCATTGGAGTAATAAGGCAGGTAACTCTTTGCTCAGCTTTAAAAGGTAGAAAAGGCCTAGTTCTGCTCTGACGCTGGTTTTAAACTAAGCACACAGGAGGACATACAGTTACTCATAACCTACACTCTTGTGAGAGGCTCAACTTTATTTTGTTAAACATATCGTACATGCAGAAGCCTCTCCAAAACGTCAGTGCCTTGCTGAGTACTCCCATTCATCCCTTCATTAGCCAGTCAGAAGGGGTGAAACTGACACAAGCCAAGTTTGTTTTCTGGCTGTCATCTATAACACTTCAACAATTCCCATATCCAAATTTGTCTAGGGCTTCATAGAGCCAGGTTTCCTACTCTGGCAATACATCATCAATTTCCCTAGCCAATCATTTTAAACAGCCATGTCTGCATTGCACTACGGAGTTGGCGCTAATTGAAAAAACTCCTAGCAGTCATGATCAGACCAAAAAAAAAAGTTTGCTATTTTATGCTTCTCTTTTATAAAAGATTCTTTGTGGTGCACAACAGTATGCTAGTCAGTTTAATTTTCCCTGCCTCCAGCTTGCTTTTATGTAACTGCATCTTTGTTCAAATACCGTTAACCTTTTATTAATGCCAACTCTGGCAGAGCTTTATTGGTCTAGTGTCACACAGCACAGCTATGGCTCCAGTCAGACTCCCAACACATCCCACTAAACACACCAGCCAGCTACCATTCCATATCATTTTTCAAATAATTGATTTAAAGTAGCAGCTTTGTGTTCTTTTGGTTCACAATTATACCCATTTACATTCCCACTACTTCCTTACACATTTTAATATTTCACCGTAAAGAAAAAATGCAAAAAAAAAGTGTTATTAATTTGCTTTAGTTCCACATTTTTACCATCTAATATAAATGAAACTCAATTTGAAACTTGTTTCAGTCCAAAATTAGTTTCTCTTGCAGTTATAAACACCTGGCGACAAGAATGTATAGTGCAAGTGATAAGTCTCTCTAGGAGATTAATTTCTGTGACGCAAGTCCACAGAGATTCCTGCCAAAAATTCTGCTCTTCCCTCCAGATCCTTTTCTTACCAGGTGGCTCTGCATGTGCTCCTTGCTGACTTTCCATATTAACATTCTCTTGATCTCCTGAGATACAAACACAAACATTGTAAGACATCAGGCATTTGTATTACCTGCATTTCCCTAAGACCGGTAATGGCAGATACAAGAGCAAACATGAGAGAGGCTGGGAATGCTCTGTAGCAAAGCAACTTAAAAAGGTAAGGCCTGTGAAACCACTGATGGATGGGTATAGCCTCCTTACACTGACTAGGTGGCATCCTAGGTGATCATCCTCTGGAGAAGCTTCTCTAGATGGTGGCCACTGAAAGCATAGGGTACGTAATTCAGAGCTCCTACAATAGCCTAGACCAGGGATCGGCAACCTTTGGCACGCAGCCCATCAGGGAAAGCCGCTGGCAGGCCAGGACGGTTTGTTTACCTGCAGCGTCCGCAGGTTCGGCCGATCGCAGCTCCCACTGGCCGCGGTTCACCGTTCCAGGCTAATGGGGGCTGTGGGAAGTGGCGCGGGCCAAGGGATGTGCTGGCCACCCCTTCCCGCAGCCCCCATTGGCCTGGAACGGTGAACCACGGCCAGTGGGAGCTGAGGTCGGCTGAACCTGAGCTGAGGTCGGGTGGATGCTGCAGGTAAACAAACCATTCCGGCCCGCCAGCAGATTTCCCTGATGGGCTGCGGGCCAAAGGTTGCCGATCCCTGGCCTAGACAACTAAAAGAAAGAAGAATGCCACCAAGAGCAAAGGAAGCATTAAGTTGCATCCAGTAACCATGTTATTGCCCTTGCAAGTTATTTGGGGGAAAGTTTTGTGCTGTGTGACATTTCACGTAGTGGTCCTGGCCTTCATATCCTTGGTTTAGGAAGACAGTGGGGGAGAAGAGAGGGATAGAAACCAATGGTGGGAAGATGAACATCTCAAAAAGGAATAAACTCTCCTGTGCTTTTATTAGAAGCCTAATGTGTGGGAAACAACTGTGTACTTAGTCTTCATAATTCACAAAGTGTGGGTTAGCCTGGGCCAACTAGTGACATTACAGAGCCAAGATAGTGACTCTATTGTTAAAGTTGCAAGGCAGTTTCCACTGTAAACATTCCACTTCCCACTCCCCATTTCCTCTAATTTTTTATTTCCCCCCCCAAAAGTGTTGCTTAAACTCTCTCATACTCGCTCTTTGGCAAGTAGAGATTTTTTTGGAAACATTTGAGAGTCCTCAGTCCAGCCTTTTCTGAGCTATGGGATTGGGGGGGGGGGTCCCCTCCTTTATCTTTTTTTTTTTAAATCTATTTTTTTTGCCAAAGCATCTCTCAAACAGCTTAGTTTTAAGCCTCACTTAAAATATATTATTCCTTCATGATGACTGCTAATGCATTGGGCCACTAAGACTGGCTGATATGTTTTATATTCATTACTAAATTCCATATAATCTTTCTAATTGAGAGCCTCAACAGATCACAAAGGAAAAAAAACTAATTCAAATCTTACCACTTGCTTTGAAACAGAGTTTCTTCTTCTGGTAAGCAATGAAGCTAGATACTGCTCCAACAACTGCTACAGCCACAGCACTTATAATTCCAGGTATCACTCCTTGAGAGGCTATAAACAAGACATTTTTTTTCTAGATATAAATGAGGACAGACTTGGATTCTTTCTCAAAAGATATACAAACTCTGAATGTTTCGAAACAGCACTAACATTTGAAGTAATCTTAGACATTGATTCTGCCTTCTTTTCATGGATTTTGAAGAGTCAAGCATAGATTTAGAATAGTTAATTTTTCAAGTAGTACATATTATTAAGCAGCATGAGTGCATTCCATTATGGTGATTGGCATGGTATGAAGTATATTCATACAAAAATGAGTGGGCACTATGAAGTCTGGATCTAAACCTTGTGAAATGCTGTGTGCAAGGTTCACATTTTCTACTCTAATAACTCACAGTTTTTGACCCATCAGAAGTGAAGTATTTAAAAAAAGGTGACAGGAACAAAGCTGTTTGAAATAAAAATGCTAGATTTTGTATAATATTTTGAAGCTGAAAAGCACCATCAGTGCTTATTGGCACTATTAAAATTCTAAACCTGCAGGCAATAAAAGGAATGCCTAATGTTAGATGTTTAACTTTTTAAAGATGATGTACAGATACAATAGATATATGAAAATCCATGCATTTACCTGCCGCATCTCCTTCACTCTTGGGATTGGTATCACCTTCTCCTGTAAGAACAAATAATTTCATTACTAGAAGAATCTTTTTAGAGAACAGTCTTATCACAATGAGAATCCGCGCTCTATGTCAATGCATCATGCAAAATGACCCACTATCTCCGGATGCTACATTAACGAAGTCAATACAATGGAAACAGACTTCAAGTTTAAATAATAAAGAAATTACACAAAATATGTTAAAAGAATACTCAGGTTGCAAAGTCAAGCATTCAAAAATAGGAAATGCCAGACCTAGTGTTGCCTGTGCAAACTTAATTCAGTCCCATTGGGTGTATTTATTGTGATACACTCTTTAATTACATGATCACAGACCATTTTTTTCTACAGGACCCTGTACCAAATGCATAGGATGGATGGTTCCCAGGGAATGAGTAGCTAATTCAATATTTTATCTTATTCTCATGGTTCAATAGAGAGTCTCAAGACCTAATTTATTGCACACCATTAAAACTCTGCTTTAAATACAAAATTATTAGATTTCCTCACGGGGTTTTCTATGGTGATTATCACCAAATTATCTAAGTGTTTTACAAACATTAACTTAGTTTCACAACAGCTCTGTGTGGTAAGGTAGCATTAGCATCTTCACTGTACAGATGGGAAACTGAGGCTCAGAGATTAAGGATACTAATTTTGAGTGCCAGAGTATTTAGCATTATATAGCACTTTCTGTGCTCAAAGCTCCACAGCTCCCACTGACTTCAGTTGCAGCAGTAAGTGCTCAGCACCTCTCCAAATCAGGCCCCGGGGTCTCAAGCTGGGAATCTAAGAAATAAATACAATTAGTGGCCACCTGTGAAAAGTGTGGTTTAACTCTTGGCAGAGGCAGCAATAGAATCCATTTCTCCTTTGCAGCATTCAACTGTCTTAACCATAGGGGACTTTTCTTTCCGTTCTTGCAGTCCCCTGCTTCATTCACTACACACCTTCCAACTTCTGCAACAAGTGAGGCAGGGGTGCTATAAGTAACAGCCTTACTCATTAGGAACTCTGATTCATTCCCAGAATGCCACCTCTCCTCTGCACTGAATGATGCAGGGATCCTATGTGATCGTGCAATTGAAGTCTATCACAGTGCACAGGCAACCTTAGTTCTGGTATTTCTTAACTTTTAAATGGTTGACTTTGCAAACCTTAATATTCTTTTAACATGGCTGTGTGTACAATTTCCTAGGCATTTGAAAAGCAAGCTGAAATGTGAATTCCATCAGGTGACGCCACAGAGGCTGGAACCTTTAAATCCACCACACGGACCTCTGCCATTTGAGCTAATGGAGTACTGGTAGCAGTAGTAAGTAGCCATCCTCTCTCTGGATGAAACATCAGATGGTGAGGAGACACTCTTTGTCAGTGCATTTCACAGATACCTTCTGACAGCTGGGAATGCTAACACTGAGGAATCTCAGGTGCTGACGGTATGTGCTCTAGTGGGCACAGACCCTTCTGCCCCACCCTCTCTAACATGTCCCAGTCCTGTCTCTTCCCCACACCTGACTTCTCCTCCTACCCTCAAGTTCCTAGCCTCCATAGCTTGTTGTCCCAATCTATTCTTTCCCACCCCCACTCCAGCTCTTGTCCCCTCTGTTCAAGTCAGGTGGCTTCGTCATCCTTGCTGCCTGGTGCCAGCACAGAGAGGATAGGAGAGAGTCTCCCTGTTCTCCGTTCTGATACCTGGCAAATGGTCTGTGATCACGTAATTAAAGAGTGTTTCACAATACACAGCAGCATGCAGCAATTGGGAGCAGTAATCACAGGGAAAGTCCTGCTCACCCGCTGAAGACCTTGGCTGGTGCATGTTCTGTGCAGACGGGATTCTCAAGAAAATTTAACTGAGTGTTTGCAAACAGATTTTTCAAAGGTTTATAACTTGGCCAAATACCAGTGGGCTTTTTCCCCATGGGAACAGCAAGATGCACATTCCTGGCACCAGGGATATTCCTATGCCAAATTTCAAGTCTCTGTCCCAAAGTAAGGCACTAGAGCTTCTCAACAGAATGGCTGGGGGATTTTTTTCCCAAAAGCACCTAAGTCCTATTTTCAGAAGGGACTTAGGCTTTTAGTAACCTAAATCTCACTGAAAGTCAATAGGACGTAAGCTCCTAAGTCACTAGACATGGTGCTGAGGTGCATTTGGAAATTTTACCCACTGTGAATGCTGAAACAAGTACCACTTTCACATCATTGTAGTTTTAAACCTATTGTTTAGGATTCCTGAATCAATTCCACTCCCTTGGATCATCAATTTTTCTGAATGAACAAAGTACATAATGGTTAAATTGGAAGATATCAATGCCCGTGCCTCAAAGAGACCAGGACAAAATCTAGCATTCCTAACTCATTTTAACCAGCTTGTGACACACAAGTCTTAGGCAAAAACTAGATAGCAGTGGGTTTTACTGTGAAGTATTGGACATTATCTTACCCTTTTTTTCTGGTGGAAGTTTACCATCAACTAAGTCTTCATCCTTAAAGCTGCCTGTAAGAGTAAATAAAATGGTTATCCTTCCTTTTTAAGTGTGTATACCTGATATTGACTCTTCCTTTAAACTACCATGACATGTTCATCCTTGATCTCTTAACCCCTTTTTAGTTTCTATAAGCTGATAGGAAACTTGAGCCATCTGAAAAGTAACTATTGGAACACGTGTGTCATACATTTATCCATGGCATGCTGAAAACTATGTTTTACTTCATACATGACAAAATCCAAGGTTTAAGGCAGACTCTTAAGAACAAACTTAGTGCAATGCCATAACTACTCCCCACCACTGGTTTGTCTCTCACCCACAAAGGTCTATTAAAAATTCAGCTAGTTTATTTGTGATTTCCATAGAGCAGATTCCATATTAACACAAAGTAGAGCAGACTCCAGGTTAACACAAAGTAGTTTCAAAATGTGCATACGGTCTCGCATGATATTCTTATCGACAAACTAGGCAAATACAATTTAGATGGGGCTACTATAAGGTGGGTGCATAACTGGCTGGATAACCGTACTCAGAGAGTTGTTATTAATGGTTCCCAATCCTGCTGGAAAGACATAACGAGTGGGGTTCCGCAGGGGTCTGTTTTGGGACCGGCTCTGTTCAATATCTTCATTAACGACTTAGATATTGGTATAGAAAGTACGATTATTAAGTTTGCGGATGATACCAAACTGGGAGGAATTGCAACTGCTTTGGAGGACAGGGTCATAATTCAAAATGATCTGGACAAATTGGAGAAATGGTCTGAGTTAAACAGGATGAAGTTTAACAAAGACAAATGCAAAGTGCTCCACTTAGGAAGAAAAAATCAGTTTCACACATACAGAATGGGAAGAGACTGTCTAGGAAGGAGTACGGCAGAAAGGGATCTAGGGGTTATAGTGGACCACAAGCTAAATATGAGTCAACAGTGTGATGCTGTTGCAAAAAAAGCAAACGTGATTCTGGGATGTATTAACAGGTGTGTTGTGAGCAAGACACGAGAAGTCATTCTTCCGCTCTACTCTGCTCTGGTTAGGCCTCAGCTGGAGTATTGTGTCCAGTTCTGGGCACC